AAAGTTTTTCTCTAGATCTAACCCTCAAAAATTATGATTTTAGAGAATGTTAATTCATTCGACACTTGCTATTTGTACATATATAAAAATAACTAAATGTTTGACCATCAATAGAACACAATATCTCGTAGTATATGTGAAAAAAACAAAAGATAATAAAATAAAATAATAAAACTTACTCAATAATATGTATTGGTATAACCCAATATTGTTCACCATCATTAACAAGTATATGAAGTTCAATTAAACAATATGAACGATCAAAACATCTTTTTTCACCTAATAATTTTTCACGATCAATTTCATTTATTGTAAATAAATTTTCATTATTTATTGAAAATAAATTTGTTTCAAATCCACCTAAATTTAATAAAATTAATTTCAAATTTTTTACTTCTTTTGTTAATTGTAAAATATTTGTATTTATTGGAATATTTTCTTTTAGATCAATTGTTGGATAAGTTTTTGTTAATGTTGTTAATAAACTAGTTTTTATAAGAATAAATAATAATATACAATTATTAATTAACATTTTCTTGGTTTTTTTCTTTTTTTAATGTTTTTTAATCAACACGTGCCAATTAATATCTATGAAGAAATTTTCATTTGTGTGAACAATTCTTTTCTATTCAACATTCAACACAACACAAAACAATCACAAAACTGTTCATTAACACTTTCTCTTCCTCCTTCTTCTTCATTTCTTCCTTATTCAAACACACAACACGGACACAAAGAGAGAGAAAGAGAAAAAAAATGACAGTGGCTACTTTTTTTTTCTTCTCTGTGTTAACACATCAATAAATAGTTTTCTATTAAATCAGATCAAATAACAACATAATAGAATAAAGTTTATCCTTCGAAATAGTCTTATATAAAATTTCTCGTCAATATTTTATCATAAAACTTTGTCAATATTGGAAAAGAAAAATAAAAAAAAAAATCGCGATTAATTAACTCATTTACTCTTCGTTTCTCTTTTGCTCTTTAGCTAAATATTAACTGACACTTATTGTCTACAATGAAAAGCACGTACATATTTCGATCCATCTTACGTCTGTTGTCGTCTTCTTCGTCAACACCGATTAATTTTTGCTTATTGTCATTGCGTGGTCATTCTTCTCCTTTATTTAGACATTCATGGATCAAACGATGTGCGATCCACTAAAAGTCATCATCTATTAACCAACATTTTAACTATTTATCACGCACAGTTTTTTTTTTGTTCGAAAGTTTTGATCTAATTGAAGTTTTTCTTTTTTTTTTTGTATGATGGAAAAGATATGTCTGTTGTTCACTTATGGTCAAGTGAAAAGTATAAAAGAAAAAAAAACGGAAGTGTGATCAATGTGAAGACAAATCACCGGCGTCTCGTCTTGTGTTAACAGCATTTCTATGAATAGAAATCAAGATGAAAGAATGTCGAACTTGTCTTTGTTGTTGCTGTTGTTTTATTGATTATAGAGAAAAATGTTGAGCGGCTGTGTCGATTAATAATTTGGCTCTTTTTTTTTTTTTATCCAAATCAATGATTTCAACAGATGATCGTTTTCAAAGATGTTCATTATCATCAGTAAATGCATTCGAGCAAAGCTAACTATTTGTTTTGCTACTTTTCTTCTTTTGTTAGGACATAATATACAATAGCAGAAAAGGTTATTCATCTACCGCCCTTGTTATTATTTATGATCAGACTATCGTTCCAATTAGAGGATCGAAAAATGGTAAACGAAAACTGTATCTTATTTAATGCAGGTGAGCGAATAATTAGAAAGTTCCGGTGACAAAGTTTTTATAGTGAAGAAGAAATAAAAGAGGAAGGCGATCAATGAAACATAAAAATCCCGCACACACCGGAAATCAACGGTGGAGTGTGATGTTAACTGTACATCGCATCATCAGTTCTTTTCATTTGAACGCGCTTTACAAACAATAGAAGTAACGCTCTTGGATATGTAGCGATTAAGTGAAAGAAAAAAAAGGCAGGTGACACATCTTAAAACATGCGTCTATTTACAATCATTGTAACAAGATATAATTGTTGTTCACAATATTTTAATTCGTTTTATATTGAACTTTATAATATAGAAATAGAATGATAAATAATTCAAATAATTTTAACTTTCATTTGTTTCCTTTGACTTTATCAAAAATTTATTTCTCTAATTTAGTAAATATTTTACTTGTTTTCGATTCTTTTCGAGAGAAGAAATTCATATCAAGTAATTGATTAAGTTTTCAACGAAATGGGGCATAAAATTATTTGTTCTACTCATCAACACTCGATTGTTGTTTGATTTTTCTGATGCTAATGATTCATTCAAGGTGTAAGCATGATCTTCAATCTCTTCCAATGAAACATTGCCATAATAACAATTGTCTTGTGTCACTTCTTCATTACGTTCTTTTAAGATATGAAAACAACTTGTAGGTTCATTATGTAATCGACAATGTTGAAACAAAAATGAATTGTGATTCGGATCACCAATACCAATACGAGTGTAACCTAAAGTCATTGGTGAATATTTGATATTTTCATATTTGAATACATGAATATGACTATGATGAATAAAAAGAGTAGAATGAACAAAAACAAGTGAAAAGATTTATGAGTATACTTGATATAGATATGTTGTGAAAGGCTATCTGTTTTACAAAGTGTTAAACCACAAAAATGGGTACCATTGAATAGACCAGTCTGACGTCATTAAATCATAAGAAAAGCCTCTTAGATGAAATAACAATGCGTTATAACTTACAGAACATGGTGTCATTACTAAATAATATTTAATTTGCATATAACGAAAAGCCAATCGAAATGTATCTTTATCTCCATTAGTTACATGCTATAATAGTAAACCAAATACAATATGCTATTCCTCTGCACATACTAATAATAAATAATAGAATACTTTATAGAAAATTTGATAATGATCATTCATTAGTTTTGCCAGATAAAGTCCATTCCATACTCGTCTTTTATCAACTAATATCACTGAACTATCAAATTCATATTCATGTTCAGCACAACTTGTATTAAATATAGTCCAAACAATTGGATGTTGTCTACTTTTGAAACCGTCAGGATAAAAAAGTGCACCGAACTTAAGATACATTGGATCAGAAAGAAATAATTCTTCTGGATCTCGCGCAACATATGCATCACAATCGAGAAATAGTACTTCAGAAAATGTAGCACTAATAATAGCGGCTGGTTTATATGGAAAAAATCGAAATCGAAGATAACTTGAAGGAGGTTTATAGATATGAACAGCGTTTAACTGCCAGATTTGTGTCAGAGTTCGACATTGAGCCGTAATGAAACAGCAGACACTTGCATTAAGGTTAGGTGCAGTACGAAGTAATTCCATCATAGTTTCATGTGAAACTTGTAAATATGAATACCATATCTAGGAGAAAAGAGAGTGATAACTGCGATATTTTAGTTATTAATTTGAGATAAAGAATACATTCTATTACTCAATAAAAAGTCCAATTAATTCGTCAATTATATATAAAACTTTAACAAGATGTAAGAACGAACTGAGTCTCATTTTTCGTATATGATTTCTTGTCGATAGAGAAATATAGATTAATGAAAATTACCTGAACAGGCAATGATGTACCCGTAAGCTCGAGCATTCTTAAATTGACTTTTGCAAACTTTAACTGTACCAAACCAGTAGTAAGAACGATTCCTCGACCATGAAAATATTCACGAGGATAAGGTATTATTTGTGTTCTTAATGTAATAAGTTGATAAGATATTTTACGAAAGGCTAGTTTTTGATCTGCACTTAAAGAATATGTTGTTTTACATTGTTCAAGTGATTTGTTTTGCACATAGGAATCATTTGCTGAAAGTTGACTAATTGATTCATCACCAAATGTAGACTTGAGAGAACCTGAGTTTGTTACATTAATAACAAGAGAAAAGAAAGACTTGTTTTTTGAATTTCTGCTTATAAATATGACAGTAATAAGCAACGATATGAGATTTAAATAACAAACGATTTTCATAGAATTTAAACGTCGCATTATTTGTTTGAATTGAATTTAACTATAAATCCATATGAAAATAGAAATTAAAAAGTTTTACTATTCATCAAGATAACATAACTATCAACGAACTAAAGAATTAATATTAATATAAAATCCAATACTTGCAATCAATGTATGATTTTGATTGAATAATATAATTATCATAATCTAGTCAATAAATTTTATTTCAATCATATGAATTTCCAAATTAATATTCAATCAATACTTTGCTTTTGAATCAAATAGTAATTTAATTATTTAAAGAACTGTACCTCCTTTTGAATATTTTGCTTACCTTAGAAAAAAATCTTTGTAGACTATGAACGTAAGAATATAAGAAAAAATGTTATCACAATAATGTTCGATCATTATCACAGATTCTTTGTGTCTTGTTGAAAATACAACTTATCTCATTTTCTACATACTAAATAATAAATAATCGATTTCGAATGAAAATCTTCAAAAGAAACGAAACGAAATGTTTCATTAAAACTACTTCTTACAATTTTTTTGTGATTAGAATAAATATTAAAATATTTTAAAAACGTTTTCTATTATCAAAGTCACCACTAATAAACAAACATAGGTAAGATATGAAAAAAAAAAAGAAAGTCAATATACTTTTAATGTAATCATATCTCTTATCAAACATTTTTTTAGAATTTCTTTAAAGGAAGAATAAATCAATTTTCAAGCATATTAGGTCATTTTTTTTTGATTCCACAAGGATCCTTCAAATGATGAGATTTTATATTTGTTGAGAATATAGAAATATTTTAGACGTGAGAAACAACAAAGAATTTTTTGTACATTATGCACGGTTCGAAAGGACCTTATGTGTGGTCGTTTATCGTTATGAAGAGATTAGAAGTCTCATTTAGTTGACTCAGACCGATGCAATACTATGAGAGATGTTCATGGACCGAATCTTGAGTAAAAATACAAAGTGTTCAAAAGATGTTGCATATTTCCAATAAATTTTGTTTTCGAAAATCATATGCAATTTTTCTATTGAGTGAAACATTTCTGCAATGAACTGGAAATGTATAAAGCAAAACAAAGATAAAACTAAAATTGTCGTCACCTTAAAAAAAAAACTTTCTTTATATTTAAGAAAATGTCATTACCTAGCTATCTTCATTCAGCATCAATTACTTTTTCCGCATAATTATTTAGCTACTACTTACTGCTGCATCTTTTCAATCATAAAGTTTTATTAGCGCTTTTTCTTGAACTCTTGCTACTGGTTCATCATCATATATAAAACAGTATACGTTCAAATTGATCAAAACTCTTTCGAGACAACAACAGACATCAACATATCCTATTATTAAAGATAGAAAAGCAAAACACAATTTTATATTGGAAAGTTTGTGATTTCACCACTAAATAATTCTGGAGGTACCAGTGAATTCGAGACCATCGAAGGTTTTGCGAATTGTCAAGTATATAACCGAATATTTGTTTATACATCAGCTACTGGTACTCCAAATGTGCTTTCTCATTCATGTATTAAAAATTTACCCAATGCAATTAGATGAGTGACACATCAGTGGTCCAGATTAAAGGTCGATTATCCATGGGTCGAATTTCTTCGGTCCCGACCATTGAGACCTCTGTTGATATAGATCATAAATTCAAACTTTACAATTTTTATAATTATTTCCAGTAATTCAATGTTTGTTGTTACTTTTTGTCAAGCCTACTTTTTTCAACATATGAATAATAATAACAACTACTAGTTTGATAAGACATGCATTATTGAGATTTTCAATGATGTAATTAAAAGAGATAGACTCAAGAAACATTCTATATAACCATAGATTCATCAAGCTGATGGAAAGTTTCTTTTACTGAACGATATCTTCATATTATTTAAAATTCAGATTGAAGCAAATGATTTAGTTCAATCATTTATTTTTGTATGACATTTATTTTATTGAGTAATGTACCATTACTGATAATTGACTAATTATTTAAGATAAGTTGTTGAATTCGGAGAAAATTTTCAGGATAATTAGGTATAAAATTATTGTTTTACTCATCAAGACTCGACTGGTTTTTGATTTCTCAGATACTATTGATTCATTCGACATATAAGCATGATCTTCAATCTCTTCCAATGAAATACTATCGTTATAACAATCATCATATATCATTTTTTTCATAATATTGTTTAATGATATGAAAAAAACTTGTCGGTCCATTATGCAATTGACAGTGCTAAAAGAAATATGAATTATTATTCAGATCATCAAAACAATATGAATATAATCTAAAGTCATTGATGAATATTTGATATTTTGATATTTGAATAAATAAATTTGACTATGACGAATAAAAAGAGTAGAATGAAGAAAAGAAATAGAAATGATCAATGAATATATAGATTTATAAAGAGATATTCATGTCTTTTTTCGTTCGAATTTTGGCAACATCTTGTATTATATTTATTTATTGAATAGTATCAAATGATGATTAATATCTGATCAAATAATTGTCGAAAAATAAAATCTTGTAAACTAACTTTTATAATGATTATTACATGTCCGAAGACTTTTTTTATTACTTATCCTAGTGCTTTATATACGTATTGTAGGAAAAATAAATATACGATGTAATTGAAGTTTTCTTTGACAGTCTTTTAATAAATATAACTAATTGATCTTCATTTTGATGAAATGTATATGATGGATATTTATTTGTCACAATTGTCTTCTACTAACATATGATATTATCAATGAGATTATAATTGATACACATACAACAAACTGTAAAGCCATGAAGGATAACATATACTTCTTATCAATCAATGTTAGTTGAAGGTTATGAAAGCAAGCTTTTCTAGTTGTTATTAATTTTTAGTCGATGCATGAAAATGTGTGCAGTGATAATGAACACATTGATGATCTAAATAGTACCGAATTCAAATAAAGATTTTGCTTGATTTAATGAAAGCTTATTAACTAAATGAAACATATTTATGAAAATCAATTGCAACTAATACTTATTGCATAAGGAAAATTCAATATATTATTTATTTCATTTCAACAAGGTGATCTGCATTTAGCAAAATACGAACTAAATCAATATAATTAACACATATATGATTCTTATCTGACAGTCTCAATAAAAGAACAATAAAGCTTGATCATGGAATAAAAGCGAGCATTAAATATCGTTTTCGAGTCAAATGATTACGCTTTATCATCAACAGAAATTGCTACAGAATAGAAAAGTAACAATATAAATATTTTATAATTAATCTAAATATAAATATTGACAAAAAGCACTAATACTTCATAATAAAATTAATTCGATCATTTAATCAACGTTTGTTTTTCGCTTTATTTCTTTGCAAAGCAAAAAGGCCAAGAAAAGGAATAATAAAAAAAATTCATAAGGACGGCGGAGTAAGCAAAGGTATAATAATAACAACAGAGGAAAAGATTTGACAAGAAAAAAATGAATGACTGTTTCTTTATTATTTCTTTTACAAAAAAACACATACATTTCTTTTATATACAGATGTACCTATTATTGGCTTTTGTTTTAAATAGAATATTGCACTTGCAATTAAAAAAAATAAATAAACATCATGACATCAAAAATAACACCGTTTGTTTCACTAGTTATAGAAATATAAAAATGTGAATAGAAGTGAAAAGACACTGTTTTGCTTTTTGTTATAATAAAATACAATTTTTTGACTAAAAATTTCATTAATTATTAACTAAAACCAGGTGGTGGTAAACCAACATCAACAATAATGTGTGTAAATAATGGATAGGCAGTAACGGAAGTTAAATTATATCGAGCTGATGATACACCATCCCATGCATAACGTTTCGCTGCTGAGTAAAGTAGTTTAGCTCTAAAAAAAAAGAAAAACCAATGTCGAATTCAGACTTTTTTTCATCAATAAACTGAAACAAAATGATGATGTTTCTTTCTTTTTAGAATTACTGATTTATAGTTTCAAAAATAAATCGAAATAGATAGAGATCATCTGAGTAGTACTGAATCAGGTGTAATAGTCAATGTACCGAAACTAAAGAATTATCAATAAAGCTTCCTATATTCTTAGTTTCATCGGTCTTCGACATATCTATAATCTCTGTACATTAGCGAACAAAAAGTTCTTATTTTGCAGATACTTTTTATTTGAATCAGTCTGTCAAGTCTATACAATAATTAAATGAGAGAAAATAGAAGAACTTGCAATAAAGATCTCAAGATCTTCTTGAAATATGAAATTGATTGCTGTCGGTCATTTTGTAGTATTGGCGCATGCCTCTTGCTAAGCATCCTGGTTTCATCCATTTTTGACTATATAAACATAGGCAAGTATGGATCATAGAATTTGATCAAACTTAAATAATTTCTAAAAACTAGTAATCATGGAAATTCATACGAAGTAGGACAGTCAATCCGATCAATTCTTTTGTTTTTTATATCGAACATGTGTCAGATTTCGAGATAGAAATCCAAATAATATCCTTATGTATTTGATTCTCACAATAAAATATTACAGCCATGAATCAAGCAACTCATTCACACTTCGAAATCTAGGACAATGTCATATGAAGGTTAAAATTTATTTCGCAGACTATATGCTAATATTGTTGTCAGGACATTATCTTTTGTTTATATATTACCATTTCTACTGATGTTATTCCATATAAATATTCATTTCACGCAAATGACATCAACTGTGAACAGTTTTCTCTTTCTCTGAAATTGTATAGATGACATTTGAATAATCTTTTTCTAATAGCAAAATCATAGCTTATCAATAATGCAATGCTAATTTTAACAGTACGAAAAACTTTCGAAGAAATACATACCGTTTATTCCATACAGATGGTGTACGTTTTGTATGTTGAAGCATTCTATATCGAGCTATAGATGATGGTGGACGAAGTACTTTCAAAGAAGCGTCTTTTAATCTAAAAGTATTAGTTTTTATAAAAATATTTTATTCATTATGAATTTCT